TAGCGGGCTGGCCAAGTCCCATAATCCCTCAAGCCCTTGGAGGTTCGGGGAAGAGGCCAGTAACTTAACTACCAGCACAAGGGCTTAGAGGGCTTAGAGGGCTTAGGGTTTAGGGGTTGTAGCCTTCCCGGTTGTAGCCGCACTTGTAGTCCAAATTTGCACATCTCGAGCATCAATACCAAGGCAAAGCTTGGAATACAAGAGCAAGTAAACTTGGGTCACAAGCTTGTCGAACCTCCAAGCAGTATCGTTCGTGTCGCGCCTATCATGAATCATTGGTACTACCACTTGTTCGATTCTCGGAATGATGTTCAGCTGGTTTCTGTGTCTTGGGTGGCGTCGCGGGCCCACACGTGAAACGTAAGATTTGATCTGGACCCCAAGCGATAAACACTAAACCGTTTCGAATTTTAGAACGTTCGAAACGTGGCTGATGAGGCTTAGGACTAAAAGTCATCCAGATGTTGAGGCCGTTCTACTTTACTCCCTGAAACATTCTGTTAGTAATCGTAAAATCCTAAACCCCAAACTCATGCTCCTAAACTGCAGTGATAAAAGCCGCATTCCTAAACTCAAAGCCCTACTCAAAGAGCTTTCAGCTCCCTAAACCCTGAACCCTAAACTCCGAAACCCTCTTCAAAATTAAAGCCGCCAAGCGACGTCGGACCAACACCGAAGCCGCTGGGGCCGGGTGCTGCCATTGCCGCCTTCAAGGCCTCACCTAGCACCTGGAAGGCTTCCGGCCAGGGGGCTTATTCTAGGGGCCTGAATAATCCGCCGAGGCCGCAGGCCCAGGCGTATTGGGCCTCAAGTTCTTTCCCTGCCCTCCTGACCCCCCTGCCCCTGCCCCCTACTCCGCTTCTGCTGCCCTCCCCGCCCTGCACCCCACCCCTTAACCCTGAACTGCCCTGCCCTGCCCCTCCCACTTCTTTCACGTTCTGTCACCGTGCCGGTCTCCGGCAAGCCGAGGCGTAGCCTTGAAATTAGAACAGGGTTGAATAGGGTTTTGGGTATAACTACAATAAAGAACCCGCAAGGGCCTGAGGGCTTCGGGTTTAGGACCTTTTTGGCGCCGGGAATCCGCACGTCAACTCGAAACCCCAAATTCTAAACCCAAGCCCGCTACCCTAAACCCTAAATCCCGTATTAAACCCGAGCATAGAAATCCTAGGAACCCCGCACCCTACATGCTAACCGAACCCTTCCGCGCGGAGGCGCCTTCGAGGAGGGCTCTCCCGAATCGGGTCCCGCGGCCTTGCTTCGGGGATTAGGGTCTTTGGGGTTTAGGTTTAGGATTTAGGGTTCAGGGTCTTTAAAGTTTAGGGTTTAGGGTTTTGGTTTAGGGTTTAGGGTTTTGGTTTAGGTTTTGGGTTTTGGGTTTTGGGGTTTCCGAGGTTGAGGGTTTAGGGTTTTTGAGCTTAGGGTTCAAGCTTTCTTAAGTTCAGTTGATACCTTGCTACCTCCCGGTTACAGGGTTTAGGGGTTAAGGGCCTGGAGTTTAGTAAGGGTTTAGGGTTAGTGGGTTTTGGATTCATGGTTTAGAGTCTTGTAGGGTGTCATAAGATCCTTCCGGCGATTTGTAACATCAATTATGAGAATAGAAAGGCGTCTATAGGGTTCACAAGACTTCTCGCGTAAATGCGTCTGCATTTTGGGGTCGTGAATAGTGTACTCGTTATGGCCTTCTTTGTCGCCTACAACAGAACTTCTACTCATACCAGACATACTGGCTTTGAAATCGGGAGCTTTTATCTCATCAGCGGGTCGCTTCACAGGCTCAACGGCTCAGTAACTTGAATATGTGAATAGGGTATGCGCCATCATTACTCTTCAATCAACCGTAAGCAAGCAATAGTTTTGGCAATATTTTTCCGACTCCCATATGCGCTGTGGGCTCTTCGTGTTCCTGGCGGCTGACTCAGCAAGTTGCCACGAAGGTGCATTCGTCGGACTCGCGAGGAAGAGGACTATTGGCTTACTTGATATGTAGGTCTAGGGGGATAGCTATGATACGCCCTGCTGTTTCTTTTAGGGCCCCTGTCTGTATTGAACCTTCACAAACCATATAACACCATGTAAATCCTCAACCACCAAGGCGCTTATGTCAGACACCAAGCAGATAAGAGCCGAACCTCCTTCAGCGCCCGGATGACATTGTCTGTGGTGATCTCCACTCCTGCAGGTACTGGCTGGAACCCGCATGCTTAGGCTTCATACTGCTTTAAGATATACTCATGGTATCCACCTGCAAAGTTCAGTCCTCTTTGGGGATCAAGGCTTCAGGATGTTTGAGTTCAAGACTTTCGGATGTAAGGTTGGGGCTTGCGTAGCATTCAGGCCCGAGCAGATGCCAAGCGAGCTCGCACTTGTGGTCATGGCATGCTTACTTTGAGGACTGCATGCGGCACTAGGCACTTTCTGGCCGTATGTCTTCGCTCTACACCCCTCAGCCCTGCAGCAGCAGAGACAGCGGCCTCAATAGATAGATTTGGGTTCTGAGGTACATTATAACCACGGAACGCTAACAATAGTATTGATAGCAGCTTCCGGATCAAGTTGAAAAGAAGCGCCTTGGCCGCTCCACGAAGCCATAACACCCCAGGCCCCAACATGTTTGGGGTTTAGGGTTTAGGGTGGTCCCCACGACAGAAATATCTCCCTTACGATTAGGGCCTTTTATGGGGGACCCATAATTGAGAAAAGAAATTTGAATCCTAGTTATCGCCACCTGCTTGCCGCAGAGCCGTGCCCACCACATCCGCCGGCGGATGACCGGCGCCGGGCCCCGCCGCCTACAAGACAGTCGACTTTGTGGTTGCATCCAGGCCTTATGCCTCTGTAGTAACTCCATCAAGCAGGATCCCAAAGGGTGCTGAGGCACTGAGAACAACTGTATACAAGCCCTCCATCCGTTTCAGTTTTCACAATGCTTGCAAGACCCCCTTGCAGCCCCAGAGAAATGACATGTAACGGCACCTCAAACCCTGCAAAACTCCTGGCTTCACGAACAGCAGCTCTCCGAAAGCTCTGGAATTACCGAAACAAGCCTTGTAATGAAACTAAGTGGTAATGGTTGCTCCAAAATCAGACATCTACGATAACCCGAAAGCCTAGAGAGCCTCAACCCCTACCTGGACCCCGAATAACCTACCTTTCAGGGTTCCCAAATGTGATTTCTTTACATAAGTCCTGATTTGGGGTTAAGGTAATAGTACTCCCTAAACCGGAAAACCCCATAAGCTCTAAAGCGGGTCCTGGATCAGCATCTGGATGACTGCCTCCGGGCTCTGCGACGTGAGAGGTGGCCTTGTCTCTATCAATGGGGCGCCAAAGACATCTAGGACCCCTTAGGGATAATGTTGGAAATTATCAGGCGTGTATAACGAAATGGGGGCATCAAGTTCGAGAGCTTGGGGTCTTCCGCGAAAAGATTTATGGCTTCCGCGTAGTGTATGAGGATTTCGAACACTTGTGGATCTTTACGGGGTCTTCAAGAGTTCAAGAGTTCAAAAATTAAGGTATTGCGCATCTACGGGTGGAAAGCTTCAGGTTTGCATTTCGGGGTCTCGGCTATGGGGTTTTAGGTTTGGGGCTTCAGGCATCGAGCTCAGGGTTCAAGATACAGGATTTGGCATGGCAAGTGGCAAACCTTCCAGCTTGGGGTTTCGCAGCGTCTGAAAGTTTATCGGCTGCGTTTAGAGGCCGCGAGAGAATAGTTTAGATTTTAAGAGTATATCAAAGTTGATCACTGCTTTCTAGAACGGTGTAGATCAGGGATTGCAACTTTGGTGTAGTTTAGACGGCTGAGGGGTGCAGGGCTTTTGGGACGTTGAGCCTTGGGGTTTAGATCTTGTGGGGTTTGGGACTAATTGAATTTGGCGTCTGTAGGTTTCAGGCTCAGGCTCAAGGGACTTCGGGTGAGTTGGTAATTGTGGTTGCACTCGTTTTGATACCTGTCAACAATACAGGAAACAGTCATTATATTATCAGTATTAACAATAGCATATACAAATTGGTATATAATGTTCACCTCCGTCCCCACGCAATTTGTTCGCTGCTTTCATGCTGCCAGAGGAAAATTCTGGGCACGTGTGGCCCGACAGCTACTCAGAAAGCCCAGCGCCGGACCCGTGACTTCCAGAGTATGATTTTAGCAAGAAATCTAGGCCCTGAAACCCATGAGCCTTAAGCCTAGGCCCAACTGAAAGGCTCAACAGAGTTAGTTATGCTCAGGATAACATCAATACAGGCTGAAATACAACTGACTCACTGAGTCAGATGACCTATTCAAGCGGGTAGGGCCTGGAATATGGTTGAGACATATAGGTTAAGGCCTTAAATCGCAGAGGGTTAAGGAACTGAAGCGGCAGATTTATGCGGTGACAGGCATTGGGGGGTCTTTCGTTGTAGGAGCTGGCTTTGTTCATGATTTTTTCGGTTGAGCGCGTCGGGCTCAGGGCTTCTAGGGTTTAGGGTTATTGTTAGGGGTGCAGTGTTCAGGGTTTGGGAAAATTATGGTTCCGGGCTTCAGGTGCATTCAATTACTGTAAGGGGTTAGGATTTCTGTGTCGTTGGGGTTGGGGCTAAGAGCTTGGGACTTGGGTACGGGATGGCTGAACTTGCTTGGATCGGTTGCAAGCCTTGGTTGTTGTGTAAATGTGTAGGGAAGAAAGCAGGTTTGCAAAGGTTAAATATTTGGACGGTATGTCAATAATCGAAGATGGGTCTTCCTGGGTAAGCCACAACCCCACTTTGAACTCCACCTGAAACTCAAAACCCTTAGGGTTCAGAGTTTGGTGAGGTTTTCAGGCTGTGTTTGCAAAGAGCGCGGAGCCACCTACTGTGCTGGTGAGGGAAGCAGAGGCATGTGCCCGGTGGAACCAAGACCCTAAATATGGCTTAAAAGCCCTTGTGATCCTTATAGTAAAGGAAGCAGTATGCTCGCCTCACGCGCAGGACATGTATCTCTGCATCGAGACTTGGCGGGATCAAAATGCCGCTCACGCAAGGAAGGATCGAATTGATTTAGATGTCCAGTCCTCGGAATCGGGGCAATCCAGAGACTCCACTACCCCTTCAAGCAACATCACGTCCACCACTTCATGAACATTCTTCAGTTTCCTCCACTAAAGTCGGCCAAAGACTCGGGCAAGAAGGGTTTCAACGTTGCAGGGTGTGAGGCTGAACCTACTTGACGACTCGTGGGGCACACAGCAAGTCGACCACAACCGCCCTAATGGGGGCCATGCTAGCTACTTGTATGACCCTGGTTATGATTTAACATCAACGCAGTACCTCATCCTCTAAGTAGTCGGAATTCACTGAAGATCCTTGCCAGGTCAAACATCTAAGTGCCACCAACGGTATGAGTACAAAGACGTTTGTCACTTCATACGGCGATGTATAGGTTCGTAGATGTCAAAATGTATGCATGCATGTACGTATGTATGTATGTATGTACGCATGTACGCATGGTAGGTTAGCTGCAATTAAGCAGGGCAGGGTAGGGCAGGGCAAAGTAGGGCAGGGCAGGGTCGGGTCGGAGCGGGTAGGGCAAAGGGTAGGGTAGGGTAGGGCAGGGCAGGATGGTCGGGGTGCAGGGAGGGGTGCAGGTTCTAGGGTTTCGGTTTTCGGTTGGTGGCATAGGGTCAGGTAGGGTCAGGTAGGGTAGGGGTAGGGATGGGGCCGGGTAGGGGTGGGGTAGGGCAGTGTGGTGAGAGTAGGTGTGTGCGCGTGCACGTGTGGGTGTGCGTGTGGGTGAGGGTGCGGGCGCGGGTGTGGGTGTGTGCGTGGGTGTGGGTGTGGGTGCGAAAACACTGTATGTATGTATGTATGTATGTCCGTATGCATGTATGTGTTCATGTATGTATGTATGTATGTATGTGTGTAAATACACGTGTATATGTATGTATGTTTGTTTATTCACGTGTATTTATCTACACACTTATTATGCATGTGTATATATACATATAGAAAATATACATATATATATATATACATATGAATAAAGTATAAATGTGTACCTATGTACGCAATGTACGTAGGTATGTCCGCATGCATGCATGCATGAACGCATGGATGAACGGACGGACGGACGGACTGACGGACGGATGGATGCATGGATGGGTGCATGGAAGATAAACGGCTGGATGGAAGGATAAATGCATATATGTACTAACTTGTTATTGGCTTATGGTTCTTCATTTATGGGTATATTCATCCTTCATATGATCTGAAAACCTGATCATCTAGCTATCTGCTGAAACTTGTTTATCTTTAAACTTGTACTTGTTTATTTATACTGATACGTATATACGAATCACGTTCCGAAGATCATGGCACTGATAAGGGCTCACAGGAATTCCTGACAAACCAATCGGAGGAAGGGACAACATCAACACAATATGTGACTCTGTTCAGTCCTAGTCCTAGTTGGCCCATGGGCCTGTCTCTTGTGTTCATCACAACAGATGCAACAACACATATGCAAAGAGAGAGAAGGACCAACAACTGAGGTTTGGACGGACAGCCACCCGAAGCAGCCGGAATTGCGAGCAGAGCGTGCCTGCAAGCTTCAAGCAGAACAATCCCAAGCTGTCCTAAACCCAAACCATACACTTAAGTACGATCTTCAGGTGCCCAAGACGGCTTTTTGCATGCTCCTGTTGCAATACTACTCGTGAGCCTCAAAGTGTCAACCTTAAGGCCTGAGAGCTACAAACTTAGATCTGATTTCACATTTTCATCACAGAGCCTAGAAAGCTGGAAGTATGGAACGTACATAGCAAAAGAGAGACTATATATAATAGGATGAACATATGTCAAAGATGTGAAAAACAGTATGGAACAAGTATGACTCCAGCGCTCTCCCACTCTCCAAAGGCCGAGGCCTTGCAACCCAACCTGAGCCCCAGAGCTCCTGCCCCTTGTGCCTTCAAGTCTCCTTCCCAAACCCTCAACCCTAAACCCCAAACCCAAAAAACCCAAGCCTTTCACCATTTTTGGGGACTCCTTCCCAGACACCTTTTCCCCTTGTTTCCAAACCCTTTCCCCTTCCCAGAGCCCCTTTCGAAACCTTTCCCAATCCCCGAAGCCTCTGTCCGGAATAATACGGTTTAGGGTTCAGGGTTTAAGGCTTAGGCTTTTTTTTGACGCCTCCATTAGGGTTTAGGGTTTAGGGGCCCTCAGCCCATCAAACCGTCGATGTGTGAAAGCCTTCACGCAAAGCTGCAGCGGCGATTTTACAAACCGTCACTGTCATATTGCGTGACACGGTCTTCAAAAACTGGGCACGGTTCGTGGTCATCTTGCTTTCACCCTTTCCATACAACTTTATTGTCGGGGCTGCGATGGCTCCTGGCCGATCTTTGCCTCAACACGCTACTGCTCTGAAACCCTAAAGACTTGAACCTTACAGCCCACGACTCTTTCGAATCCTTATAGGACCCTTGACAGAAGGCTGGCACCCCTAGACCCCAGAGTAACGAACACAAAGGGTGCCTTTTTTGGGTTAAAGGGCGTTACAAGAGTCTGCGTCCTAGGCCCCTACGAAACCGGAAAGCCCCACTTAGGGCAGGCCCTGAACTTTCTGCTGGGCCTCCGCCAGCCGTTTCCTTGCAAGGGCCTTTTGGTTGAAGCCCGGTTTAGGGTGTAGGCTTTAGGGAGCAGGGTTTAGGGTTGAGGGTTACCTCTTCTCTTCAGGGTCGCACTTTATGAGAGGGTTGCGGAGAAGGATCTGAGAAAGTATTTTGGGGCTGTGTTAAAGAAGGGCACTGAAGGGTTTTATGGGGCTGTGGGAGGTTGAAGGCTTCCCGATTGAGGGTTGTCTTCTGGGGTTGTAAGCATCCAGTCGGTGTCAGAGTTTGGCGGTTTAAGGTTTGAGGTGCAGGCTTGAAACTTGTGCATTGGAGCTTTGTGTTTTAGGCTTTAGGGCTTCGGGCAACGGACTCTAAGACACCCACGTTTGTAGGGTTCCCGTTGTGATTTCCATGCAAAAACCCGGAACAAGTCGATTTGTTGTGGTAAAAGTACTGCTTAAGCCTAGTAAACCTTTGAGGTAGTGACAGGTGAGGTGCGCCGTCTTAAAGTAAACCCTGAAGCCTATCTGCACGCGTGAACCCCCACACTGGATCGAACGCAGACCAACCTCCTAAAGCCGCCCTGTAACCCCCACCAATTTTGCACCTGAAGCACTATGCAGGGTAAAGCCCTGAAACTGGCAGCCCAAGCCTTTTTCGAACCCAATGGACCCCCACATAGAACCCTTGTGGGAAGTCTACAAACCTTCAGGCCATGCTGTGCCTCCGCCCGCTTCTCTGCGATTACTTTCTCCTTCTCTGCGATTGCTGTCTCCTTCAGGCACCCGAAAACCCTAAAGCCCAAAAACCTTGAAGCCCTACGTAAAGCCGTGAACCTACAGCTGGGGATCAGGCATCCAGCATTTTGATTGTTGGGTTTGGCGGTTTAGGGTCTTCAAGCTGGAGGGGTCTGGAATGTGTTAGTTGGGCCTCAGGGTTTACGGGGTTTGAAGGACCGGTTCTCAGAATATGTTTACAACTACATGTTGTGCAAGATATGAAAACATCGGCACGTGTTGCCAGCAGATACGTTTCACTGATACATACTCTGTGCAGTGTCGTCGGAAAAACTCAGGCTGGGATTGCATGTTGCTGGATTTGTTGTTGAGGGTGGGTTTTGGGCAAGCCGCTGAAAAGCTTCACACCGAATGGCTCACATCTACATGTCCAGCCTTCACCCGCTGCTCCAAAAGCTCCTCTGCGGCCTGCCGGGTTTAGGATTTAGGTTTTTTTTAGTTTGTTTTTTGAGGGCCTTTTCTGTCGCTCGAGCTCAGGGTTTCGGGTTCAGGGTTTAGGATTTAGGGTAGTATTTCGGCCCTCTAAAACACCTACATTTGTAAGGTTCCCATAATGATGGAAAGGGTAAAAGGAGGGACCCTTAATAAGGACCCCTAGGTATATACCCTTCATGCCTTTGAATGATTTGCTTGTAAAAAACCTTGAACAAGTCGATTTTTGGTGGCAAAAATTGAGGCTGTGACAGGTGATCTGCGCATCCTTTAAGTAAGCCCTGAACCCTAACACTGGAACCTAATGCAGAGAACCCCAAACTCCTATAGCCTTGTGTCCGCCGCAAATTTTGCACCTGAAGAACTATGTAGGGTAAAGCGCTGAAACTGTTCGAACCCAACAATGGACCCCCATTATAGAACCCTTGCAGGAACTCTGCAAACCTTAGAGCCTTATAGCCCAAGCCCCGAATCTTCTGGGGTGCCTCCGCCCTCTTCTTCTCTGCGATGGCTTTCTCCTTCTCTGCGAATCTCTCCTTCAGGCACCCGAAAACCCTAAAGCCCAAAAACCTTAAAAGCCCTACGTAAATCCGTGAACCTACAGCTGGGGATCAGGCATCCAGCATTTTGATTGTTGGGTTTTGCGGTTTAGGGTCTTCAGGCTGGAGGGCTCTGGAATGTGTTAGTTGGGCCTCAGGGTTCACGGGCTTTGGGATCCTTAGGCCGAACCCTATGTGCGGCTCCCGAATACGATTTCCTTGTGAGCAGAAGTTCGGAGTTTAGGGTGTCCAGCATCTCGCCGTTCAGGGGTTTCGGCTAGGTTTGTTTCAGGGCCTCTTTCGTCGCATGCACTCCGAAGCCCATGGGAAGGTTTATGCTCTACGTATTATGTCACGATTTCAGGCCTACTGCTTGCATGGTTTATCGGGCATTGGAGAACTTCAGGATGGCATGGGCAAAGGCGCTTCTTCGGGAGGTTGCGGTTTTCTAGCACTCGAGGTCTGCGGGCTTAGAGCGTTAGGGCTTGGGCTTAGCTTCTTCGGGGTTGGGTGGTTTGGGTAGTTTTGGCCTTCAGAGCTTAGGTGACAGTAGGGTTGTTGGCCAGAGCTGCGAGGCGACATGCTGACTGTTGTGTCCTTCAAGCACTTGGCAGGCAAGGATTCCGACAATCGTCTGACAAGCTAAACTCCAAGACCAAAACCCTGCACCTTAAAGCCTAAAGCCGCAGCCCTAAGCTGTGAAACCCCGACCCACCGTGTCCTTCTCGAGCGACAGAACCTCTCAGTTTCGATATCAGCAGGCCAATTGTGGTAACCAAGGGGGAGAGGCACTTATTTGTGTGTGTGTGTGTAGTGTGTGTGCGTGTGTGTCTTGTGTTTGCAGTTGTTTGTGTTGGGGCTTGTGGTTGTGTTTGTGTTTGCTGGCCTACGCGTGGGAGAGGTTGAGGCCCTTGCGTGCGTGCGCCTGCCCCGCGTTTTCCATCCCTCGCATCTATCCCCATGTACAGCCTGATGTAGCCCATGTCGACCTACATCCGTATTCAGCCAGATGTTTAAACTCTGTGCAAACCGGCTTTCTGAATACAACACCATACGGACATAGGTTGTCGTCAAAGCCCACAGAGACATAAATACATACTTACTTACATACTTACGTACTTACATACTTACACATTTACATACGTGCTTACATACATCCGAAGACATACATACTTGCACAGACATCCATATATACATACATACATGCACACGCGTACATCCATACACATACACATACACAGACATACACGTACACATACACAAACACATACACATACACATACACATACACATACACATACATACCCATACATATACACCCAGATATACACGTACGCGTACACGTACACATGAACACACACACACACACACCACGTGCACATGCACATCCACATACAAATACTCATACACGCACATACATACACTTACATGCACGTACATGCACATACATACACATACATACCCATACAAACAAACATGCATACATACATACACTACACACATTACATACAAACACACATACTTATATACTTACATACTTACATACTTACATTACATTGCATAGATACATACATACATAAAGGAATACATACATACATACATACAGACATACATACATATTTATGTATATGCATACATACATGCGTATATAAATACATACGTACATACACACGTACACCACAACAACGACAACAACAACAGCAACGACAACGACAACGAAAATGGCAACAACAACAACAACAACAAGGAAGGCAGTGCGTCTGCCGCCGCACGGGGTGTGTCGTTTGTGTTTGGGAGGTTTTTTGGTCAAAAGCTAGAAAACCCCAAGTTTTGCGTGGTTTTCGTCAACTAGACGATGCATCGGACTTTACATTTTCCATAGTTGTTTGTCTTGTTTTTTGGTGAGGATTTTGCGGAAGTGTCGCAAATACCATGCTTTTCGTCTTTGATTTTTGTTGCTTTTTTAGGCTCATTTGGGAAGTTTTTGTCTGGAGAACTTCAAAAACTCGAGGTTTTGCATGGTGGACGTTTCCAACGTGAAGCAAGAAAAGGCAAGCACGAGTTGACAGAGCAAACAACTGGTAGCATTTGAGAAGTAACGCAACCAGAGAAACAGAAGACACAAGCCGCATTCGCATGGACGTCATCACCCCCCCCCCTCCCACCCCCCCCACCCGCGCAGTGCTCAAAGACAACTTGCAAGTTTGAGCCGGCATGTACACAAAGTCGAGAATCGGCAAAAACACCGTAAAAACCAATGCAAACTGCGACACATAGGAAACAACAAGAGTAACAGAAGACACTAGACACAAGCCGCGTTCGCATGGACGTCATCACCCCCCTCCCCCCCACAAGCCCCGCACAGAGCTGAAAGACAAATGCAAGTCGAAGCCGGCATGTGCAGAAAGTCGAAATTCGGCAAAAACACTACAAAAACCGATGCGAAATGCGACACACGCAGGAAAACACGAAAAAAACGATGCGAAATGCAGAGCCGAACATGTGTTTGCACACTGCAGCCCGCCGGCGGGGTCACTTTTTGCTAGAAAACACCGCAAAAAAAACCGATGCGAAAGCAAAAGCAAAGTTCAACGTCCGGTGACGAAAGTGCCAAAACTCGAGTTTCAGCGCATGCCAGCAGAGGAATTGCACCACCCCGCGCGGCGGCAGATGCACCGCCTACCAACAACAACAACAACAAGAACAATCACCATAACAGCAACGTTAACCGTATCCATCAGAATCATCATGGCAATAACATAACGACTACCATACCCATAATCATTAACATCACATGACCTTGATATGTTCATCAACCTTCACATTGAAATTGAAATTTGCATTGACACTAGCATTAACATTGACATTGACAGCGACGTTAACATGAGCATTGACATTAAAATTAAGGTTAGTCCTAATGGTAGCATTAACATTAACATTAACACTGTTGGTAGTAACATTAACACATCAACACTAACAACATCAACCGGCACGTACATCACCTAAAAGCCTACGCATGCATGTACAGTGTACAGCATACATGCATGCATGCTTGCATGCATACATACCTCGAAATAAAGTGCAGAAAGTTTGTGCCAGAGCACACAAGGCATCGCAAATACTGCACATCTCCATACCGGAATCCATACATAGCAAACGTGGTTTGAATGGATCTTCAGAATATGTTGACTACTACATGTTGTGCAAGTTAGGAAAGCATCGGCATGTCGAGTGTTTTCGTGGCTTGCAGTGTATACGTTCACTGATACATACTCTGTGCAGCAACGTATGAAAAACCCAGGCGGTGATTATTGGTTACTTGTTTTTTGTGAAGGGAAAGGGATTTTGGGCAAGCCGCTGATTTGCTTCGCAAGGCATGGGTCACATCTACATGTCCAGCCTGCTGCAAGAGCTCCGTGACGACATTTTTGTCTGCCTGCGGAGACCCTGTTCTGGAGGTCCGCAGGTGTTCGTTTAGTGTTTATGGTTTAGGGTTCAGGGTTCCACGTTAGGCTTACCTTGCAAACTCGAGGACGGGCATAACGAATGGAAGGGGAAAACCCCAAAGGTTTGAAATCCGAAGTAGCACCCAAAACCCTATAACATGAATCCTAAAACACCGCGAATCCAACCCCACGAGGCCTTGTCGACTTGCAAAGCATTCAGATAAAGTCCACTCAGAAGCCTCTCATCCTCAAGCCGCTCAGACAGCCACTCCTGGCGACTTTGGGTGTGGCGTTTTAGGGATTGGGTCTTGAGCTTTAAGGCTCAGGGTTTTTAGGGCGGGTTTTTGCGGGGTTAAGACTTGGGGTTTGGGCGTTTAGCGGACGGCTAAACCATCGCATGATGTCACAGACTCAAGTGTATGAAAGTTGCAAGTCAAGTTCACTTGTGTTGTTAGTGTCCGAACAAGTCCACATGGCTTTTGAACTGCATGCATTCTTGCTCTCCACGGTAGTTCCAATGTTGGTATTGTTTTTTACTTGTTTGCATGAGTTTGCGTCGGCGGGGACAAACGGCGCGGGTCAACAGATCGAACCGCCGTCGCAGGGACATGGTATTGAAAAACTCAAGAGCACAACGAGCAACATGCAACTGCTTGTTTTGTGCTCCTTGAATTAAGGACTGAGGGGTCTAGTGCTATAGGCTTGCCGCTATCGCGTCCTTCGAAAGATTTGCCGCAGGGGGCGGATCGCCCTCGCTGCTCTTGCTTGGCGATGAACCGTTGTCATTCGATGGTTTCTGCTCCGAGTCCTCCAGGTGCAGGGTATCGGCTAGCTTCTTACGGGAAAACCCTAAACCCCTGAACTAAACCCTGGCCGTTACAGCCGGGTAGTGCCGAGACAGAGAAAAGCAGAATGCGCAACATACAGCTACTGATTCTGGACTTTCGGGTTTAAGCATTTAACTGCCTAGGGTCTATAGGGGTTTAGGCTTATCGCTACCCGCTGCTGTTACTGGACAATACACGATGCTCTGCCGCTCTGCCGATGTTGGCTGCTACGAGCTTTCGGGGTTTGGGGTTCGGGTTCGGGGCTATTGTGCTGATTTTTCTTCTTAAACGCAAGATTCTTTTTTATCATTGGTAGTATCATTGTCATTAGTGTCAACAGTAAGTATGTTATCAAGATTAAACATATAACTACTATTTTGTAATGCAATAGCCCTCTTTCTTCGAAGACACCTTGCTCAATCTGAGAGCGCAAACAGTGTGCAATTTTCGAACTTCCCGGGCTCAGATTTTACAACTCGGAGCTTAGACTGGGATTCCCGGACATGGCATAAATCATAATGAAAAGGCTTCTTCTGTGATTTCAGGCATATTCCTAGTAAACCCTACAATATCCCTGTAAAGACTCCGTAACACCCTGCAACGGCGTGATTTTGCAAGACAACAGGAAGGGCCGTTGTAGCGATATAGGAGCGAAACAAGCAAGAGAGGAACGTAAACCTTACAACTACTTATTCTGCGCTTTCTGGTTGAAGGGTTCACGGGTCTAGTGTTTATAGGGCTTCAAGCTGACCGCTATCCCATCCTTCGCATCGCTCTCGTCACCGCTGGACTCCTTCGATGATGGTAGTCCCGGCAGTTCCGGGTATAGGGTTGCTGTTTACCAGACAGACCGAACGACGGCTACTGCAAAATAATCCCGAAAAACAAGGCTCAACGACCAACATATAACTATCTATTCTGGGCTTGCGGGTTTTAGGGGATGGGCGTCTGGGGTCTACAAGGGTTTACGGCTTATCACTACCCAATCCTGCGCAGGACTTGCCGTCATTTCGGCGATCTCGTCTTCGATCCTGAGCTTCTCGCCGAAGACCTTCGGGGGTAGGGCCGTCGCCGGGAATGCCCTTAACCCTAAACCCTAAACCTCAAGCAGCGAAATATGCTCGAGGACGTTTTCGGGTAGTACATGGGCGTTGTAGGGTTGTAAACGCGTTGTATTAGTGTTTACATTTTGATGATGCTTTAACCAAGCTTTTCAGGCGGCTTTATATGGGGGCCTGCACTTCCTCGAATAGGATGTTCGTCTAAAGAGTTCTCATAAACGAGTTCATGCAGACCCTGGCAATTTTGCAAGTGGTTACTTTCAGTGTTCTTTAAACCTGGGCCCTGCACTGGGCCCTGGTTTGGTAGTAATCTCGGGTTGGTGAAGAACCCCGATGCACAGGCGACCGCAGGCCGCCCCGTGCACCCGTGTCCACAGTCCTCCCCGAGCCTGCGACAGGCCCCATCCCACCCTACCACAGGCCCTGGCGATGGCCTTGTCCCCCCCCCTCCTCGGGTTTGATCCAAGTTCAAAACTGGGTTCGAGGCTTCCGTGACGGCAAACAACAACTCAGGAAGCCATGAGCCCGGGTTGACAGGTCTAAGCCCAAACGTTTGCAAATGGCGCGGCTGCGCACCCCCAACCCCCCGCCCCCCGCTTTCTTTAAACTGCAGACTCTGCTGGGACCGATACACCAAAATAAAGAACTTCGGGGGTTAAGAAGCGAAGAAAACAAAATGATGAATCGTGGAGAACAAAAGTACAGCTGTTGAGAAAACCATCGAAACTGGACCAGACGAAAGGACAAGCCACACGTCTTCGCTTCATTGGGGGGGGGGGGGCGGTTTAGGGTTTAGGGTGAGGGGTTAAGACGAAGAAAACAAAGCTCATTCGGCAAGGTTTGCACCACCATTAATGGTGAGGTCAAAAGCGAAGCAAGCAGAATGAAGAATCGTGGAAAACAACTGTTAATATTTTGACAAAAGATGCAAAATACCGAGACATCTTCTCAAACAGACAGGAAGGGCAAAGCCACACGTCTTTGCTTTAGAGGGCAAAGAGCAAAGAAACAAAGCGAAAAATAATGAAAACATAAAGTATGTAAGTTCAATCGAACCTCTTCTCGGACAAACAAGGAGGAAGCCACAAGTCTTCACTTCATGCCGGGGTGAAAGTGACGAAAACAAAGCTCATTCGGCAAGGTTTGCAATTGGGGCGGGGGGTTCGCCACCCCCCCGGCCTGCTTTCGTTAAGCTGCAGAATCTGCTGCAACCGACACACCAAACGAAAGAAGCCCCACGACTTCCCTTCAGGGTCGGAAAAAACGAAGACAACATAATGATGAATCGTGGGGAACAAAAGTTAAAATCTCGGAAACAATCGAAACATCTTCTCCAACAGACAAGAAGGACAAAGCCACATTTCTTCGCTTTAGAAAGGCAAAGAGCACAGAAACAAAGTGAAAAAGCACTGAAAACCAAACCTAAAGTTCAATCGAACGTCTTCCCCGATAAATAAGAAGGAGGAAGCCACACGTCGTCGCTTCATGGGGGGGGGCAAAAAAAGCAAAGAAAGCAGAAACCAAGTGCATTCGGATAGGCTTGCAATTCAACTGTGACCCCCCCAACCCCCCGCTTGCTTTAAACTGCAGAATCTGCTGCAACCGACAAACCAAAAGGAAGAAGCCACACGTCTTCGCTTCAGGGGTGTCGAAAGCGAAGAAAACAAAATGGAGAATCGCGGAAAACAAAGGTTAAAGTTTGGAGAAAGCAATCGGTTTAGGGGGTAGAGAGGAAATAAAACGAAGCAAAATCATTGAAATCATGAAAGCCATGGCTGCACCCCCCCCCGGCCACTTTCTTTAAACTGCAAAATCTGCTGCCGACACACCGAAAGGAAGAAGGCACCCACCTTTAGACGGTAAACAGCAAAGAAAACAAAGCGAAACTCGTTGACAACAAGGGTTATAATTTTAGAAAACAATCGAAACGAGAGCGCCTTAAGACAGCGGACGACATGGCCTGCGGACAAGCCTGGCAGGCAACAGAAAGGCTTTGAGGATGGACAGACCCGACGAACAGGTTCTAGGACATGGGCAGACAGGTGTAGCAGGGATGACAGACCTTACAGAGAGCCTATGACAGGGGGGGACAGGGCCTACAACAGGGCCTTATGGCAGGGCACAGTGCCTACAGGTCTGTGGCAGGGCACGAAAGGGCCTTCCGAAAGGGCGAAAAAGAGGAGAGCGAAACGGCCTATAGCAGGGGGAGACAGGGTCTAGGGCAGCAAAGGGTAGGAAGGGGTTCATGGTCGATAATCTCGATTCACTATGGAAACTCAAAGTAGGCCCCTTAACAAGATCTACAACAAGGTACAGTCGCATGGGAGCGTCAGGGGTCGTTAAAACACGGATCGTGCAGTTCCCTAAACTTGAAACTCTGACTTGAAAAAATGTTTGGAGCGTCGGGGAATGGAAAGTGGGGTCCTTTGTTGAAAGTTTTGCTCCCTCAGGTCTGTAAGCGCTGCTGAAGCTTTCATGGTGCTCTGCACGATCATGGTCGATGCGTTGTGGAGGTACGCCTCCATGGCATTTCTCACGTAGACACTGAGCTGAGACCCCCGCAACCAGCTGGCTGTTGCGTAACCGCTGGGACAAGTGGAGGACATTGCCCTTGGAAACAGGGGGCCTTTTATGATTAGAATAGCATTTTTGTAGGCCCCCAAGCCCAATTCTAGTGATAAAAACGCCACTACAAGCTAATGCTTTTGAATTTTGGGAAGGACCTGGATCTCGCGAGCAGCGTGCTTCTGCAATGCCAGGCGTTGGTGAACAAGGCTTTGCGGATTGAGGTTTGAGGTTTCGGGTTCAGGGTTTTTCGTGCTTGAGGCTTCCGCTTTGGGGCATCAGGCCAGCTGAATGTCGCAGCTTCAAGCCACATGAATGCTTCCCGAAAGGTTATGATCATTCTTCCCTAAATACTGGCCCCCAAATTAACGTTACAGACACTGCCGTAACTCTTTTGCGTATTGGGGCTTCTTGCTCTATGTCCTACGGCTTGGGGCAAATAGTAGGGTTTTGCTTTGAGGGTTCTGAAATGTTCAGGGTGGGTGGTGAAGAGTTTGGGGTTCAGGATTTAGCATTTCAGAAGCATGCCAGCATTGGTTGCGAAGCTGAGATGTCGACGATCCACAACGAATTGCTTTCCCTGGGGTGGGCTAGGAGCAATAGCTGGACGCGCAACGTTCAGAATGAAAGCGCTTCTACATGGAAGAAGCCACGTTTGCAGTGAAAGCTGGACGTGCAAGAATCTACATAAATACATGCACTTCTAAATGGAAGATACCCCGGTAGCTGTGGAACTTGTGCAGTGTCCCGAACTCCGGGGGTGAAAATTGGATGCAAAAGCTTCAACACAACCACATTTCTAGCTGCAATAGCAGAATTGCGGGCTCAGGGTATTGAGTTACCATATGCCATAGGCATCTTACCCCACACCCTCAAGCCTGTACCAGAATCTACTGTGGAGGTACAGCGGCGCGTATAGTAAACGTGGGCATTCCAATAAACACTAACCCTAACCCTAGATCCTGGCTCTGGTTGGCTGGACAAAGCTGACCACAACTGTTTAAAATCTCCTTCCAGTCATATTTCACGGATCTCTGAATTTAGGGGTGCTAAGGGCAAGTAAAGTTTGGGCGGCGGATGTCGCGGATGTCTTTGCCCCGGTCCATGGTTTGAACGACCAACCCTACCCAAGACCGTGCTCGCTGGAACAGGCTTTCCAAATATTCTGGTGTTAGTAATAGTATGTCGGAATGACAGGCGGAGAATATTTCCAATTTACTCAGACGTCTACATTAGACTGTGCCGTATGGTCGAAACATAAACCCGATGGCTTAAGCCCCCAACAGGAACAGTTGCTAAAACTTGGGCTCGTATTCACATTGCCTGAGACATCAATCCGTACAATAGTATAGCACAACATGGTCATGCTGCTATCGGTCGTGCTTTCCAGGTTTGAGGGGTTTCCTCGAGTTTGGGATTGTGGGTTTCGGGCTGTGGGACTAAAGCCAACGCGTTTAGGCTTTGGGGTCTTGGGTTGCAGAAAGAAGGTTTTAGGATTTGGGGTTTCGGTTAAGTGGGCAATACTCTCTTTGTAGTGGGGCTCAAGCTTGACTCTAGGGTTCACACCTAATGGATGTTAGTGACATTGCTGATCTCTTTCATGATAAGAATACAATCCCACCGAAGTCGCTCAACCTGCTTCAGCCTAAACCCCACTGTCAACACTCTAAGCCCGAAACCCCCAATAAACCCTACACCCGAAAACCCTACGCCCTCAACGTGTCCGAAAACCGAACTAGGCCGTCGGCCTCCGTATCGTCCCACCTGAGCATTTCTCGGGTTTAAGGGGTTTGCATGGTTTGGGGGTGTTGGGTTTTGGGGCTATTGCAAAGGGTGCCTTTAAGTGAACTATCATTCGGGTTAAGGGCTTTAGGGTTTTGTGCCTCTTGAGGTTTAGGGTTTTAGGGCTTTGGATTTGTTGGGCTTCTTCTTCAAGGTTTGGTTCGGGAAATGTACTGGGCCAGGAGCGGAATCAAATGGGACGAAGGAAGGTGGGATGTTCCCTGACTAAGCGCCCGTGTATAAAGCATCCTAAACCCCACCTCTCTTCATCACCCCTTTTAAACACCTGACACAATCTGCACCTTTCGTAGCAGCGCGAAGACACTGAGGTAATCGCACCAACATGGCTTCAGTGGGGTTAGGGGCTCTAGGGTTAACAGCGACAGTGTCCTTCATGAATGGAACAAGACTTGGGGTAGACAATGCTGTTGTTCTAGCGGGACCATATGGGAAAATCCTAAGTCATGGATCAGGGTTTGCACAATCGTAGTCGTAGTCGTAATCGTAACCGGGATTGCAATAATACGAGTCATCGTCACAAGCAAAGTAACTCAATACGAATAGTCGCAAACAACAGGGGTCTGCCAGGCTTCCGACGCCGCTGGCGTGTTGCCTGGGGTTTTGTCGCTCTCTTTGAATCACGCGACCCATCCGACCCCTATGAGACATGAACCTCGGGACTGCTTGACTGAGACTCCAAAACCCCTTGCTCAAGGAGTACATCTTAAATCATAGCAGGCTTCTTCTTATGATTTCGAACACACTCCTGGACAAGCCCATCGAAACCTGTTTAAGAATCGGCAAAAGCCCGAATTCTGTATGAACAAGAAAACCATCACTCTACTAGCCGCCTGCCTCAAATGAACGGTTTTGGAGTTTCTGGATTCCCTTGCGCGAAGACTAGAGACCAGACCGGGCACTATCCCCGCGAAGCGCTAGATTTGTTGATCAGCTGCAGGCCTGTATCGGGCTCTTAGGAGTTTTTGACAGGGTGCTCCCCCAAGAAACAGTCCAGACAATACCGCACATCAAATTCCAATTTTCGAACGAGGCATTCCTGAAGCCTTGAAAGTTCCCACCTCAGACATGGCGATGCAAGGGGGCACAAAAGTCGAGACGGAAAATAATCTTCCTAGCTCCGACGGGCCCAGGTAAGTTGCGCACATCGGGACCATCTAGAATCCTTGAGCCCTAAACCTTAATGAACCCAAGAGTCAATCAACCCTAATAAATTATAAATGGGTAGTTGTCAAAATTATGGCCTTTTTGGGGTACCCTAAATCTTAGGTGCCGTATTATTATAAGGACCCACAAGGGACCATAATGTTGACAGCCACCCAAATAAACCCAAGAGACCCTGTCCTAAATCCGAATATGTGAACCCTGCAGTGAATCTATCATGACGACCTTGAGTAATGAAGATCAAGCTACACAAGGCGCAATTGGAGCCCTGCCCATGTGGTGGAGCTTTTCTTGGTGTGAGGGGGAAAGGGGGGTGGCACTCATGAACCCTAAAGCCCTTAAACCCACACCCTAAGCCCTAAGCCCCACTCAGACCCGAAACCCTGAACCCTAAACCCCTGAAGCCCTAAAAACCGACAAATTCCTGCACAGAATCCTAAAGCCCAAAAGCCACAAGTACCTGAAGCCCTGAAAGCCACTTTACGTGAACCTGACAGCCCAAGCCTCTTTGATCCACGGAACCCTACAGAACCCTCAAGCCCTGCAGCCCAAGCCCTGAATTTTCTGCTGGCCTCAGCCAGACCCTTCTCTTGCTCCTTCAGTGCTTCTCTGAAGGGTGGGGTTTTCTGAGGAAGATGCGGGTTGTGAGAAAGATATTTCAATGGTTTTATGGGGCTTTGTTGGGCTGAAGGCTGCCAGTTGAGGGATCTACAACTTCGCTTTGTCTGCTTCAGCATTTCGGGGAGAGGGATTGGCTGTTTAGGGTTTAAAAGTCCAGGCTTCGGAGGTCTAAAATTTCTGATGTGGGCTTTAGGGTTTGAGGGTGTAGGACCTTTCATTTTAAGAAACCCGCATGATTCCTTCTGCACTTCCGCAAAATGGTAGGGTTTCAACTCTCGGCTTAAGGTACTGCATTTAGGGTGGTGGCAGGTGAGGTTCACTGCCCTGAAGATGCCCTGCCCATGTGCTGCAATTCCCTAGCGCCTGGGGATCTCTGCAGCGTAGGGGCCGGCAAAATTAGATTGGGGTTTGAGGGCCGCTGCAATATGGGTGGTTGTCAGAATTAGGGTCCCCTTTTGGGTCCTTATTATAATACGGCACCTAATATTTAGGGAACCCCAAAAAGGGACCATAATTTTGACAGCCACCCATATGGAGATCTCTAGACATGAAAAACGGATCAGGACTAATTAATCTTGATTCGGTCAATCAGCCAACCGACTGGAAAGCATACAGGTACGGCTTAGGGTTGCGATCCCGACATGAAACCGGAACTTTTGGAACATACCTATTCTGCTAATGATTCAACTCATACTCCTGATAATCCCGATTTAAGACCAACAAAAGGCGAACGAAAAACACCCAACAGATCCCTTGAATATGCGGTTGTGTAGTCTCGCCTGGGGCCAGACCGGGGCCTTGACCCGCCAAGCGCTAGATTTGTTGATCAACTGCAAAAGAGATGCAGGGCCGTAGGATGCCGTAGGGGTCTTGACGGATAAGTCATGTCTGAGTTTTACCCGAAATCCTACACCTTAAACTCCTAAACCCAGTTTTCTTTAGGACTTGAATGTCCATCATGCCCAGCTCGTTCCCGTGAGGAAACTTGGACGCTCGTTCATTTGGGGATCCGGCGTCGTCGGCTGGCAAGCAATTACGGGTTCTGGGGCCCTAACATGCATAGCTTCAGGTTTCAGGACCCAGGGTTATGCTCCCAGCCGTTTGGGCCTGCTGAAACGGTGGGGACTGGGTAAGTCGGTGATAAGCCGCAAAACGATACTTTCGGGGCAAATATCATGTTCGGCAGCAATTGATGGTGTGAAAAGCGGAGGATTCCACTCAACTCTCGGTCACAAAGCCCAAGGCAGCCGATCGTAGATAAAAGCAATGCAGCAGGCAAAGCAAGGATGATCAGAGCTAAAACCGTAAGATTGACGCTCAGGTAGAAGACAGGTCCTACAACCCCCAGGCTGTAAGCGGTCTTTTCCTGGGACTCGCTAGGCGGTCCTTGAGCAGTCAAGCTGCGTAGTGAGACAAAGTTGGTCTGATTCCTAACCAGAAGGCAGAAGCACATGTACGCATGTCAGTGACAAATCACACCCCCCTCGACGCGAGCTCACGCGTGAGAAGAGCGGAGTTGAGGAGAGTCACATCCACTGATTGTGCACCGAGCCACACCTCTTCCGGTCAGCTAAGCTTGAAGCAATTAAGAACCATTAGATGTGGGTCGGTCTCTGCATCTGGATCATACCTATGTTTCACTTCTGTACAAACGCAGCCTTTTGTGATCGTCAGGCGCATAGCGAGTTGCCAAGTGATCGGTGGCAATCGGATGTTCCATCGGATCTATGCGGGTTTTACATATTAGACTCAATGCGCTCAGAGTGAGAACTCGGCAGCATCGAGTGTCCGTGAAAAGAGAGGGACACACGAGGAAAATACCATGGCTAACCATTGTACCCCTGTGGGTCTTCTCAGCGCGGCGCAGGCAAGGAAGGCTGAGGAAGTAGCGGAAATTGTATCATAGCCGGGTTTCACCATCAGAATCCGCCTGACCCGAATGACGTGTAGAGCATGGGTCAGAAAGACTCAACCGGATTCACCTTGCAGTGACACAATGCATCGCCACGCAGGTCGACGGTCGTTACCTACGAGTTGTGGGGCTACGGGTACCGTCCTTGTTTCCTCGTCCGGAACCGCCCCTTCCTTTGTTTCCCTTATCACCCTTCCCTCGGCCTTTCTCCTGCTTTCCTTTTCCTTTCTCGGTTTTCCCTCTTCCTTTGCCCTTCGTCGGTTGCCTCGTGTCATCAGCTTCATCGATGAGGCCTGTCACGTTTGAGCCAGTTCGGGATTTGCCCTTTGCCGTTGTTTCCTTGGCCGGGCCCATCGTGCGAGATCGTGGCTCAGTCGAAGCGGAATCGGATGGAGCTGGAGGCGCGGGATCCGCAGTCTCAGCAACACGCTGTTGTGTACGCCCTCGCGCCTCTGCACTAGTAATCACCCGACCAGGAGTTGGCCGGACAATCGAAGGAGCCCATTTCTCGTCGCGGGCTGATTTCGAAGGTGGGTTCGAAGCGGTGCGAGTATTTGGTGCAGGGAACTTGGGGTTAATCCGTTCCTGCGTAGTAGCGGAAGTGCCTCCAGGCGAGGCAGCTCTTCCCGCTCCTGTTTCCTCGGCAGAGGGAGGAACTACGCCAGCCGCCTTCATATTGATAGGGTCATCGGGATTTGCATTCATCGAAATGATGACATTGGCGACTTTCTTCCTGACAACAGGCAGCGTGTTCGGTGCGTGATACATGCGAATAATATCTTCAATCGTCGGGTTGTCCAAATCAGGCTCCGGAACCCGGGTCTTCATTCGCAGTACCAAGGGTAGACCCTTTTGATCGGAGTAGGGTGCCCTTCCTGAGACCATCAGTGTCTCCCCTTCAGCGTGGGGAACATTGTAGCCCGATTGCCTCGACGTCTTCCGACTCGGTGGGTTAGACGGAGGCGGCATCTCGCGAGGCGGAGGCGGGTTCGTCTCAGGAGCGACACCTCCGAGGTGCTCTCGCCCAGTGCGTTGTGACTTCGGGCCGGGTCGGATCGCCCGTTCGAGCTCAGTATCATCCTCGTCCTCGTCATCCGGAGGAACGGGGACGGCATGAGCTTCGGGGATCGACGCGTGCCGTTGCTCAGTGGCCTGCACTCTGCGCTGAGGCGCATCAGCACGTCGTCGTGCCCGCTGAGCTGCGACGTCGAACAGATCTTGAGGCTCTTCTAGTTCATCGGGTAGAGCCTCGAAGACATCTTCGTTCTTTTTCATAAGAACAGGGTCAGTTCTCTTAGTATCGGGGAGCTGATCCTTTACGCCTTCAACAAGATTGAAGAACGTCTTCTCAGTCGCGCGATCATCATCGAAACATTCCTTAATCTTGACAGAGTGATCGCGAATGAATTCCTTGAATTCCTTACGCTTCTCATCAGGCGTTTCGGGGGCATCAAGGAGTGCCGTATTCCCATCAGCAAAAATCGTGAATCGGGAATCGGTATGGTGCGGGATGAACTTCCGCCCCAAAGGGTCCAAATCACGCCAATTGATGGCTTGGACATCGGGTTCTTCTTCTTCCCCTTTTCCTTTCCCTTTGGGCTTTTCAGTTGCCGCCGCAGTTCCTTCGATCTCCTCAGCTTCATCGTCAGAGATGTAGCCAGGTTCACCTTTCATCGGAATGCCGTAGCACGTCGTAAGGGTAACCTTGGCAAGGAGCGCGGAAAGGCTTTCACTATCGACACGCATGTATCGCTGATACTTCTGCGTGTCCGTGATAGTGGCACGGAACTCATCCAACGTTCCAAACTCGATCGGTGGAAAGTCGAATTTGCCTTCTCATCGCCAGATTGGCGTTCTGCAATGGCAGATGCGCAAGCCGAATTTTCTCGACCATGTCCGAGTCGACGGTATAATCGATTGTCCCTCCTGTGTAAAAGGGGGAGAGATAGCCGCGCGACAGGCAGACTCGGTATGCGCGCTGACAGTGGATCGACCATCGTGCATAGTAGCACAGCGGCTTCTCGCGGCATGTGGCGAAGACCGCGCCGAAGTGCTTGACTATCGTGGTTGCACAGGCGATCGACTGCGAGTTGAGGAAGTCTTCCACACCGCTCCGAGCTTCCTTGCCAGTGATACCGGCAACAAGCCTCTCAATGGAGATGTCCAATCGAATGGCGCCTTGAATCGTTCCGCGCACGCTCTTCTTGAACAATTCCACTTCTTTCGGCGATGTATCAGCTGCAGTGCATTTGATCGGTGGCACCCCGAAGAACGCGGTTTGCCTGTGGTCCTCAGCGATTGACCTAGATACCGGGAAATTCCTCAGCTGCTTGATTGCAGGGTACTCGTGAAGTCGGAATTCTTTAAGCTCGTTTCGCTCAATGAGCTCGTTGAGCCATTCGGCATGACTTCCATAGTACTCGACCTGAAATGGGTTTACAGGATCGGCGTAGAACATCCCATCAGGATAATGAATCGGCTTGGTGCATGAGTGACACATGTGGAGACCCACCGGGAATGATGCTCCGCACATGGGGCAGTCGAAACTAGCAAGCGGCCACGTTTCTCGTTTGTGGTCTCCTCTCTTGGGGCCAGTGCCGAACTTTGGGCCTCCAACATATTTGAAGGCCGTGTTGAACACAAGGGATCCCGTGTCCATGAAGTATGCAATGGGCATACAGGCGAGAGGGATACTGTCTTTGATCGCATAATATCCCCTCGGGTGGAATACAATCGGATTGATTCCCGCCGCAATCATGTGCAAATCAATCGCAAACACGATCATGCGGTTGGATCCCATCCCTTCAGGGAGCATGGATTGTGATGACGCGGTGTTCGAAAGCGTCTCACGCCCCGGGTTCATTCGGACGTTCATGTACACCTCTTCCCACTCATTGTTGTTCCCAGATCCGGGAGCATACGGGAGCAGAGCGAGGAACAGCCGCCCTTTCGGAGGATTGAGCTTGCAATCGCTCATGTACCCGAAGAATTCGCGAATCGTTGCGCATCCCCATCCATACTGAGGATGGTATCGGGCCACATTTCTTTTCCTCTCGCCAGCGACGTAATGATCCTGAGCGAGCTGGATAAATGGCCCGTGCTGGCACTTGGTCAGCAGTCGGAATCGGTTGAAGTTATCAGAGCCGAAACCGTAGGTGGCTCGAATGCCGACAAATTGAGGACTTCCATCGTTGTCGATCGTCGAGTAGAAGAACTCAAACATTCGGTTGTTGTCCGTCCGGGCGATCTCCATAATGCATCGGGTAGTGATCTCGGTCGGTTCGCCTCGCTCATCCAGAATATTTGTCTGGAGAAGGATTCGGCCATCGTTCTCTCCGGCGTTGGCCTTCATGTATTCCCTCTCACGCTCCATGTACATCGGAATGACATCGAAAGCGATAATGCCACTCTGGTCGAAGCGCGAATACAAGGGAATGCCCCTTTCTTGATCCTGGGGCCGATTCTGCGTTCTCTCGGCAGTAGCGGAAGGATACTCCTTCGTTTGCGTCAGCACTCGGAACAGCAGTTTCCGCACCAAGTTGATCATTCCTGCGTCCGGAATCCTGGCAGCAGGGATGTTTTGTGCGTCATCGATCAACAATCGGCTGCATGACACGGATGTTCCGCCGACGGATCGGAACTTTGCCTCCTTAGCATTGTATGCTCGGACAGCGTCATGGATCTCGCGGCAATCCTCGTAAGACTCCGGTCGGAGGAAAGAATCGTGATCTCCTTTCACCGGTTTCTTGTGAAGTGCGACGTTCAAGTACACCGTCTGATTCGAGGACAGCATAGCGAATCGGCGCCTCGAATATTTGCGCTGTTCGTCAGTCGGTGGGAGACAGGTCGCGGAGACCAGCCGACCATGGACGGAATCATCGATGCCCATGTCGAGTCCCGGGACGACGAAGTCAGTCAGCGGAATCGGGACGGACGTCATTTCATACTGCACAATCGGTGCAATAGAGTCGACACCCCTCTCGGGCATCTGGTCAGGGCGATGAATCGTTGTCGCCTTGATACCAGGGCCCTCGATCCGGAAATTTCTCGGATCATTTGCCGCTTGATCGGCTGTGGTGCTGGCCGGGTCAATGTCGATATCCGGCCCTCGAGCACCGGAGAGCGCGGCTCCCTGAGCAACCATGTCATTCGGAGGACTGGAACGCAGGCCGTGTTCCGGAGGGCTCTCAGCGGTTCGGGCAGCTGGCGGCGGGGCCTTGCCGGGGACCTCGTCTTGCAGCTCCTTCCCGCTACCCATATCTGCGTCCTCCTCGGGTTTCTGCTCGGGTTTCTGACCGGCCGTGTCATCATCCATTTTGGTATCATCGTCATCCTCCTTTGCACTCTCTTCGGACGCCCTCGGAGGTGCTGCCGCAGTAGGCGGAGGAGGAGGAGCCACGTTTGGCGGAGGCGGCGCAATCGCGCGCTCAGATGCAACACTAACCTGTTCAGTGGACGGAAGATCGTTGTCCGCCGCGCCATCACCCTGGCTACTCAGGGCACCTGAAGCATCACTGCGACGCGAGGAAGAAGCGGCAATAGATCGGGCATGCTTCTGGAACTCACTCGCAAGGAATCCAGCAGTGTTCCGCAGCTGTACTGCCATACTACGCTGGAACTGGGACAATCTGTCATCCCCAGATCGACCAGTAGCGCCGTAGCTCAAGTCATCGGTGAGCCCCATCAGGCTCTGCACTGGATCTTCCTCCGGCTTACGGAACTCAGTCACTCGTCGTTGCATGGCGAAGCCCGGTGGCAGCTTGAGGTCCTCTCTCGTCAACCTTGCCGCCGCGTTGTTCACCAGGGCCACCCGCATGGATTGAATGACTTTTCCAGGGGTAGGCGCAATGAGGTCCGGCCAGTCATCGGGAGTCGGAACCTCAAGGTCCTCCGGCTTGAACACCATCTGTTCAAAGGACATCGCACCCATGCCGCGGTGTCGGATGGCAATCTGCAATGACTGGTATGTGTTGAGAAGCGATCGGGCCATACCATATGTTGAGGGAATGTGCGGATGGAACACAGGAAGGGTCGACATGCTTGCGACAACTGCATCCAGGTTGGAGATAATCGCACCAACCTTGGCCTCGAGCTCCCCCCTGTTTCCATACTCCGGGGTCCACCGTGCATCAATGGCGGACACAGTCTCACCAGTATCTCGGTTGATGAGCACAGGCGTAAATCGGTCGCTGGCCATCTCCCTGATGAGATTGCTGTTCGACTCAACTCGGCGTCGGCCCTGGGCCAGCCGGTTCGTGACAGCGTCAAGCGCATAGTCACCCGGAGGATACATGGCACCCTGGAACACATTGTCATCGTTTATGTTCGGGTCCATGACCCTGGCTAGCCCATCGGCAATGGATCGAAGGTGTTCGGCATTCTCAACTCCCGTGGCGCCCTTCGCCACTTCCGCGATATGCGCCTTCATTTTAGCAGCCTGTTCACGTCGAGCCTCAGCTTCACTGACTTGGCTCTCGAAGTGCGCATAGCCTTGGCGACCCTCGGCAGTAGGTCCCGCGGCTTCCACACCACTGAACGGCTTCGGCTTCTTCATCGCAGATAGCGGGATCGCCGGCACGGCGGGTGGTCGTGCAGCGTCCCGATTGGCGGCGACTGTTCGCTCTGCATCCCGGGGAGTAGGCAAGTTCTCGAATGCTTCAGTCATTCCTTCGAGAAGCTCATTAAACTCCTCATCGGATTCCTCTTTCTTGACCGCAGGCATCGCTGCATCGCCATCCCCTTGCTGTCCGTCGCCATCGGAGCTATCGCTAGACTCTTCATCGTTCGCAGCAGCCGGAGCAAGGCCGGGCGATACCGGCATTGCCTGGCCATGCACAGGAGTAGCGGGCAGCTCAATCGGGTCCGGATGACGAATACCCGGCAGATCAGCCAAAGACGTCTGTTCCTGTTTAATCGGATTCTCAGGAGCAGCCGGACCTGCATCGTCAGCCATCTCCTCTTCATCTTCGTCATCGAAGCCAAGCTGACTCATGTCAACGGTCTTTGCGGCTCGATGATCAGCGCCGCGATCTGCCCCTTCGATAAGGTCCTGCACTGTGGAGTGCACAATGGCCTTCACCGTGCCAGTCGACCTTTCTTCCGGAACTGGAGTGCGCGCCCACATCTTATCGTGGGCAATCTGATACTCCCGTCGTGTAGCGTAAGACGGAAATCGTGCGAGAGCCGCCAGTGTAAACATCGAGCAGATACGGGTACATAGGACCCCGATCGTTTTGGACTCATGCATGATGTGATATCCTTTCAGGTACGGTAGTCCTTCCAGGATAGCGTCAAACGACAGGGAAAGGAAGTTGGACCTCCTGATTTCGTCCCAGATCGACCTCATCTCCTCTCTGTGTTTCTCGAAGAGAGGGCCAGGGAGAGTCGGAAGGAAACCCATGCTCGGTGACACTGGTCCGCAAAGGGACACCGATCCGTAGATCGTGTTATACTTCTCAAGGGCGTCCCGGGCGGTCACTTTGGCGTATTGTGATCGTGCCATATCGATGTCACCAGTCAGCTTATTCCAGCCTTGGTCCATCTTCCACAACTCGTCTCCTTTCCAGAGGATGAGGATGTGAACGTTCGATGGCGGGACAGATGGGTCACTCTGCATCAGCTCGAGAGTGTCTACCATCTCCTTGAGCTTTTCGCCCTCATCAAACGCCTGTACCCGAACTTCGGACTCAGGGAATCCAAAGCTTGCCAGCGCGTTCTTCAGATGGGTGTTCATCTCACCAGCGTGCCAGGATTTGGCAGATCTGAAGGTTAGCAGGCCATCGTGCATGACAACGAATCTCTGCGGCTTGCTGGGTACTGCCGGCTTGATCGTTGGCGGAGCACCTCCAAATGCAATCGTGGATGCCATGGTCGTGACCGTTCTGATCCCGTGAATCGAGACAGCCACAAGGGCATCGGCTGGGCTCCAAATAAGCGCGCCAATGATATCCGTCGTATTTTCTTCATCGTATACGATACCCTTGATATTCTTGGCGGACGTGTAGCCGAAGTTGCCGAGCAGAGCACCGTATGCTTTTCGGTAGTGCCTGCACCATGCCTCCCACTCTTTGGAGGGTCCTCCGGCTATTGTCTCGAGCTTTGTAGGCTTTGGCAAGCCTTGGCTGCCTTCCTCACCCAGCATGGGTGCACGCGACTGAAAGAAAGGAGCCAGCTCGATTCGGTAGCTAGAGGACTGGAGCTCGGATAGCAATGCATACCTTCCACCGACAGTGGCTTGCTCACTCGTCCCGTACGAGTCGGGCATCCAGTGATTGCGTCGAAGCACTACCGGGTTGACGGTGATTCGTTCCGTTGCCTCACCACCACTCGCCGCAGCATGATCATCGGCCGCGGTCGCCACAGGCTGCTCCGTCTCGGTAGATGCAGCCTGTTGGGTAGTGTTGCCCCCCTGAATCGTTAGGTCGGCAAACTCAACATTGTCGCGCGCGACACTGTCTCCCAGCAGCTTCAGAATGCGAGGATCGATCGGGCTCGCCTCCATCCACGGGTGCCAGGCCACGGCTTTCGTCCCATCGGCACTGAGGAATCGGTGTCCGTGGATGACGTAGTTCGGGGAAGTAGAAACCCCTTGCTCGCGGTCATCCAAGAGGCGGAAGGGCCTGAACGCGATTCCGCACAGCTCGAGAAATCGAGTTCCTACGCGGATCTGTTTCTGGGATCCCCCCAGCTTCTTTGTCGTGCGACTGTGGCTGTTCACCATAGTTCGGGAGACGCAGATCATCACCTGGAACCAGTAGCCTCCGCCGAGGTACGTGCCAGATGCATAGCTACCGGCAGCCTCGGGGGCGTGTCCAGTCACCCAGACGCAGGGTTCGTGACTTCCATGATCATCCGTCACGTAATCCTCTCCGAACAAGCCTCCGTGAGCAAGAATCGACCAGAGGTATCGGAGATTCGTTCCGTGGAGGTACGTCTCCTGAGGATCGTATATGTCCGAATTCATCGCTGGGACATACACCCACCCGTCAGTCGGGCGGATGGTGATCTGTGACGCACCGTCCTCGTAGGTCATTTGGGTGCTGGCTCCCCAATTGAGCGTATCATCGATGCTGACGCATCGCCCGGGGTAGGCCTCAGCCATCGTGTTCATGAACGAGGCCCACCCGCGCATCAGCGGGTTATTCTCATCGTCGTCTTCGTTGCGAAAGGCGGCCACTTCACCAATCCCGTTCGCATCCACGGCAGGTAGATCGTAGCCGTGTTCCTTGCGATCATTCTCGAGGTGACTCGCTTGCTCTTTCAGAGAATTCAGCGTGGGAAATCGGTTAAGGGCCTTGATTGCCAGAAACGCCCCAGGGATGAAAGAAAGTGTCGGCCTGAGCTGCAGAAATCCCTTGAAGAACCTCGCGGCTTCAGCCGGGTTGACCACATCCCTTGACAACTCAATGGGCGACAGCTTGGTGAGGTCGTTGTGCTTGATACTCGTATCGGTCCTCAACCATCGCTGTTCCGCAGACGAACTGCTGTATCCCATGAGATTTCGATTCCAACTCGCAAGAGGCGACGGAATGTAACAGGTTCCCATGAGGCGGAGCGTATCGTTGCTCAGTGTCTCTCGAGACCCCTTAAAGGTTTGCGCTTGGAAGTGCATACAGTGGCGAGCCAATGCCATCGTAAGGTCCATTTTCTCGCGGACCCCTGCGGCATCACCGGACAACGTTGCCACTCGGGAAAATGCAAGAGCGCACATCACCCTGTATCGATCGATGAAGTCCATAAACTCTCGGGGATACTGCTTCCTCTGCTTATCCGCAAGCGGATGATTAGAGAGGAGGAAGGAGTCAACTAGCTGATGCAGCTTTAGGTCGAAACCAGAGTTGCATGCCAGCTGTTCGAGGCGCTGCCAGATTGAGGCCTGTGGGATCTCTTGGACCCCGATTTTCAGCATCATTGCTTTCATCCTCAATCCTATCGGAACGTCCTCGGAGCGCTTCCCACCCCCAGTAGACTCATCTCTCGGGGTCTGAATCGGGACTGGGGCTTCATCGACGCCCATGTTGGCGTCATCCTAGGGATTGGGGGAGCAGGAGGCCTTTCCGTAGTTGGCGCAATCGGGCCGCTCGGAAGGCCTTCCCCGCAAGGCGAGGGGGATTTCGGCTGAGGTGATCGGGCAGCCGGTGTCTTGGCGGCAGCCTTCTTCGGTGGCTGCTTGTTCTTTCCCCCCATCGTTCAGCAGCGGCGGCAGCGCGGAGAAGTTCGCAGCCCGTGGCAGCTACAACCTGTCCTAGCAGGGAGCGCAAGTGGGCTATGGACTGAGTCGTAGTAGAGGTGGTCTGTGATGGTCGGTTGATGAAGGTGATCCATGATCGTTGCCCTTAGAGCTCCTTACCAAGCTATAGTCAAGTGTGAGTGTGTAAGTATGTGCATGGCCTTGGCGTCTTTGTTTAAGCAATCGGCAACGCGGATTGCTGTGAGCCAAAAACCGCAGAATTGATGAAATGTTCTAGCACAGCCCACAATGCAAATCGAAGCTCTTTCGGGTCGACCCTTTTGGCCTTCTTGTGATTGCACGCAAATCGTGACATGAAGATGGGCCCAAACCGGGCGGGCATGAAAATCTCGCACATCCACGCATGCTGAGAACATCGACCAGAGGAGCACGAACACAGCTTAACTGGGCAAAGCTCGTGCGATTCAGACCATCGTCTTATGTACTCCCTACCCCACAATGGGTTTCCCTTCGGTAGCACAAGGAATACAGGGATTCCAGATGACCGGGCAGCGGAAGCGTACCCGAGTAATTTCTTGGCTTCCCATCCTTTTTCTTTGAGGTCGCCCCTCATTTCTTTCCAACCCCTGCTCTTGAAACCGGCTTCTCTTTTGTTAGCGGTGCCAGCAATCGGAACAGTAACAATACATACCGCAGGCGTAGGCGGAACCCTGATGTTCGAAATAGCAATCCACTTTGCATTATCATCGAGACTGAGATTGATACTTCGAGCATGAGGGAATCGGATTATGCCTTCGCCTCCGATATGAATACATTTTATGGCTGCTCCGAATTGGTGAGCATCATCATTGAAATACCCCCCTGACGAGACATTTCGAGGATGAAATCGTTGAAGGGACTGTGACCAGTTTCAAGATGTACCCCCCTGGTTGGACAGACAGAGGGGAGAGCAGAGAGAGCGGGAGCGGCAGACAGCATACCAGAGGAAATAAGAGTACCTTTGCGAAAATGACCAATAGACATAAGGTTGCGACCCCACACTTTGGCATCAGTGCAGGCCTTGGTCAGGATATCACCAGCCTCAAACTGAGAGGGACACGTCACAAACAGAAAGTCACCAGCGTGGTAGCGTTCATTCAACGCAGAAATATCGATACGCTGGGTACGAGACATATGACGCATATTAGGATTGTGACCAGTGATAATGACTCGGATGGCAGCTTCATTGTCTTCCATGACACGCAAACGGAAGCGACGGCCCAACATATACTCCCACATGGAGAGAGCGGGCAATCCCAGTTTATAGACGGCGTGATCAAGGGAGACAATTTCGGCTTCGGGAGTAGACTTTGACACAGAAGTCTGCTTCTTGGACAGCGCATTAAGAGGCATAAAGCTACGCGGGCCAAGAAGACACATGAAGACACCAGACGTGCTCTTGGAATCAGTGCGGTCGCCCGCAAGATCAGCATCGCAATAGAGCACAAGCTCTAACATCTCGGGCGCATCACCAATCCAACCATATAAATTGAGATCGAGGGTGGAATTGATATAACACACCAAACGATGGAGCTTCTTGTCACACAAACCATCCCACTTGGTGATGAGACTAGCAAGTGCCTGCACAGGACGGATGAGATCGTATCGCCCCATGCGAGCACCATACAAGATTTTCATCAGGACAGCGGCAGCGCAGTCACCGAGAACGCCCTTACCAGGAGGTATAGGCGTATCGGTGGGATGGCCCAACAAACGGTTCACCTCGGGACGATCCGGATTAGTATCGAACTCCGGTCGTGACTCATCGAGAAACGGCGTGTCAGCCGACCGCAAGGTGGCTTTGTATTTCGGACCACAGAGCTCGACATAGCGAGAGACACATGGCTCCATGAACGATCGCATATCGTACTTGATCATTCGGATTTCGCGAGGACCGGCAGAGCCCTGAGCGACAGTAGTGTCACGATCGCCAAAAGTGAGCTCGGGAAATGCCTTCTTGGGTTCCTCGAAACGCGTCCAATAGGAGCGCGGATCAAAAGAATTAGGAACAACATGAGAGAAAGTAACATGCTCACAACCCAAATAACGTTTGATGCTCGAGGGCGGCTCCAACTTAATCTTTGATGCCATGAGCTCCCACCCTGTGGCCAGATTGGCCTTTGGTCCACTGAGCTTAAAATCATCGACGTAGACCACAAGCATAAGGTTAAGCTTGGGATGGCGAAACACGCTCTTCCAGTCAGGGCATTGCTCGAAGCCAACAGAGCGGAGAGCCTTTTCGCAATGCTGTTCCCAGAACCCACCGGCATCCGGGTGCCCGTAAAGGGCCAATACAAGACGCACAACCGGGTCATGATACTTCCCATGCCATTCGGGCAGCCATCGATCTTTGGGCAGTCGCACCCATGTGGCGGGGCCACCAAGCTTAGCTTGAGTGTAGGCGGACTCGCCGTCCGCAACTTGTATTTCGTGACCGGGCAAGAGACCGAAAGCATCAGCGGCCTTCCCTGCCTCCATGGTCGCGGGGCATGAAGTTATCTCGGAGAAAATCGCCCAATTGTTGCCTTCATCTTTGACATGACAGCCCTCAAACACGACACGACCCTTAAATTTTCGATTTGGATCGGATTCTGGAAGCTCGGAGTTCTTTTCCACGCATATATCGAAGATACGACCAACATGGGCCGTCTCTCCCTTCGCCATGGCCTCGTTAGACACATCGCGCCATTCACGCACGGAGGCGTAATCCCAGCAGCCCTGATTGATAAGTTTATTCCACTCCTTATCAAGGGCGGCCTTGGCCTTGGGATTAGCGGCACGTTCTTTTCGATCAACAGGCCGTGCGACACACGCGCTGTAAAAGAACACCGAAGAGTCTGGAGAGCGATGCGAATGAGGATCGGAACGAATAGACATCGCAGGTGCTGCATCGGTATCCAGACAGTCGTTGGAGGGCTCTACCGGTGCAGAAGTACCATCCCCGGTATCCTCATCCGTGAAATCAAGTTCAACTGCGGCTAGCACGGAAGTATAAAACTGAACCACTGCCACATCCTGTCCTGGTTCGACTATAAGATCGGTGTCGGTAGGATTAAGGACGTCGACCCCGGAATGGGTAGCCCCTTCGTTGTACGTATACATGGCCGGACAAATATCGAGGCCACTACCGCGTAGCGGCTGAAGGCGGGCCGACATGCCGCTTGGGGGATCGAATTCAAGGTCAGTAACAACACAGGCGCGAGATTTAGCAGGGACTACAACACGTCCCTTCGCACGTAAGGCGTGGCCATAATAGCCGTTCGCCGTTTGCACTCGGCGCTCTGTTCCGTCGTTATTCGGCAGACTGGTTCGAACCTTGATCTGTGTTTTGGCAGAAGAACCGATAACGAAAACGGTCTTTCCTGTCCATCGACATGGCAGAGATCGCACATCGGATGATCTCCATGAGTCCTGCAACGTAAATTCTGTGCCATCGGTCATGGCCATAGTCATCCTGACATCTGTCAAGGTCGCAGGATCGACAGGACAGTCCTTCACTGAGGTGGGATTAAAGCGCGCTCGGCGCTCGATCACATGAAATCGGGTGACCGTGCCAGCTGCGACATCGTGATACCAATAATCCTTATCATGCCGTTCAGCACCCGACTCATATTCGGAATCGAAAGCGATGTCGACAGGAGCGGCATCGCGAGAATCCTCTCGGGACATGGCGTGAGACTCAGCTTCTCGGCGCTCAGCCTCGACATATCCCTCCCGTTCGGCGCGATTCATGCTGCGCCAGGTTTCGGAGTCGATAGAGTTCGGTTTTCGAGACCCTCGGTAGACACGCTCGGAGCGCGGCACACTCTGACGGTAAGGCAAACCCCCCTCGCCCTCCAGGATCTCCGACCCATGGTAAGGAGGTAACTTCTTCTTGGATGGGGCAAAGCCATCATCATAGAATTCGACAGTGCCTGTCCAGAGTTGCATCAGTCTCGTCTTACCGAAGGCATAGCCGGTTTCATAGATCGTAACCGGACTTTTATCCTTATACTGAACATGCGAAATACGCACTGTGCTCAGCTTCCACGGATCAGGCGACTCGCCAAGAGATCCGGGAGTCTTACTGGGATGAATCATCGCCTTTCTCGGGACGACTACGTGATAAGTCCACTTATGACTCGATGGATCATATTCCCAGTAGTCGACACCTCCTCCATGAGAAGATTCGGCTCGTAACTCGGCTTCACGAGCCCGCCGAACATCTTCTTCGGTCATTCGGGTCGGCTCGTCGAGGGCAAACATTTCATCGATATCTTCGAGTTCGAGCATATCAGAGGCGTCAAGGCGCTCACTAGATTGAGGCGCACAAGACTGCATCGCGGGATCGTTGATGCACATTGATCGAGTCTGCTTGTCGTACACGGCGAGCATCGGGAACGTCCATCGCTCCTTGGGTGAGCAATATATCTTCTTGACCTGGTGGACGCTCGCACGCAACGCATCGCGTTTGAAATCTTCCAAATCGGCGACAATGTAGTCACCGTCCCACTTGCCCCCGTTCTCAAAATGACAACCCAGAAAAATACCAGGCTTACTCGTAGGGGAGAACTTACTGGGGCGTTGGTAAGACGACAAGCGTTGATCAACTTCGGCGCCCTGAAGAGTGTTAGATTGATCATTGTCTCCGTCATCAATCCACTCTAAATAACCATCGTCATCGAAACCAATTTCGACATCAATCAGTCCGTCGGCCCCCAGGCGCAGGTACGGCGTACTCCTCACCATCGCCGAGGACAACTTCATCTCTCTGACTCCGCCGGGTCTGTTTTCGTGCCGGCGTAGGATGGAAGTCAACAAGGCAACCAAACGGCAGAATCTGACCGTCAAACTCAACACCATCAAATCGCATCGCATAGGCACTCTGACCCTCGCGCAATTCGATGTTACGAGCATGGCAGAAGTGCTTGCATGCGTAAGGCCAGAATTTGGCGCTCAATCCCGCTTGTCGTAGCGCCACACGTGCGCCATGAAGGACAAGCTTCACCTTGCTCTCGGCAATGGCATTAGTTCGAGGCATTCCCGGGGTGGAGTGCTTCACAGATATGCCGACTTTCTTGCAGGTCGATATGAACTCACGGGCTTTATCACAATAGATCTCCCGAATCGCAGAAGGTGCATACCTCCTCTCCACATCAATGGAGCACGAGTTCACGTCTCGAAGATCGCCAAAGACCTGTTGAAATGCTCGGAGCGTATCGGCATTCGTTCTTCCCTTAACGGGAACGCTCTCCAGCCACTCGGTTGCTAGATCGTAGAAGACGACAGCATCCGTCTCCCCAATATTCCCGCGATTGCCGAGCCCATGCAACACCATGGTATCGATGGTGACGTGTTCGCCAAACTTCTCAAACCCTTTATCGCGCGGTGAGTCTTGACGAAAGGATTTAACATTTTCCATCTTTGCACGTTGGCAGGCATCGCAGTAGGGGTTCTTTGGGAGATGAGTCATGAGATGACGGATTGACTTTGCCTCATCTTTCAGATCGCGCGCTCTAGGTTCATCAGGCGGCGACTGAGGCTTACCCTTGTCGGGAACCTTCTTGTTATCGTCAGGTGCACTCTTCTGAACGCTCTTGGCGTTGGGCATATCGAGATCAAGTTCTCCGACAGCGTTTAATTCGCTGCCAGGCTCCTCACCAGCTGCAACGACCTTTTCGTGGACGATAATCGGTGCTGGGAGGGCCGGATACACACGAGGGAGATCAGGTCTGCCGGCCACTACCTCTGTCTCACTTGGAGCAAGGTAGGGAATATTATTGATCACGTCGACCTTGAGGCGTTTCCCTTTCGGATCAAAGAATATCGGATCGCAAAAGGGCTCCCAAATGAATCGATAACCAAGCTCCTTACATCGTTTCCCAAGGGAAAGGAGACTTGGCGTGCTTTCCAACACATAAGCTTCAATCAGTTCATCAAGACCATCGATGCGCATATGCGCGACACCCTTGGTGTTGGTCTTCCCGTTAGCTGTCCGAAGACTGATCTTAGCATTCTGGACGATCAGATCCCTTTCCTCACGGGATAAATCACCGAGACCAATAAGGTCTATACCGCAACCGGAGTCAAGCATGAGTCTCCGTACCCTCTTAATAGACTTGACAGCAGCAGCAAAGACTTCGCAAGCGCTCCGCTGAGAAAGCGTGAGCTCAAGAACACAAGCATCATTTCCTAACGTTTTGGCATCAATGTCATCGAGCAAAACCTGCTCTCGCCACAGCACAGCTTTCATATGGGCTCTTCGCCTCTCGCGAGCGCTATTCAGACCACGGATATTTTCCGGCCACGAATAGCTCAAATTCCTCTCGCGATTGACGGGGCCGAAGGCCGGCTCCGGGAAAGAAGACTCTATCACGCGGGTCTCAGTGTTCCCAAATGACACTGTCTTCCGCTTGACTGACGGACATGCCATATCGAATGATGCTGCACAAGCGAACGCAAAGTCTCCAAAGGAGGATGCTGTCATTGCCTGAGGGTTGCGGCACGCCCCTCTCAAAAATCCGAGGGCGTTGGCGCCGGGCTGTCAACCCGCCTTGATGTCGGCGCGGGCTCAGCAGGCGCAGGAGCGGCAACAGAAGTGCTCTCAGCAGGAGCACCAGGCTTCACATGCTTATACGGACACTTATCACCTCTTGTGCAAGATCCACGGGCATAGTAGAAGCATATGCCAGACTCCTTTGATATCGGTGACTGGGATCGAGGCGGGGAACCCTTTGGCGAGGAGCTTCTTCCCTTCAGGTTGTGGGAGAACTTGCATCCGCTTCCTCGCGTGCATCTGCCTTTCTTGAAATCGTAGCAGATTTCCCGTCCTCGCGGGGATCGCGACATCGGGCGAGTCGGTGCGGGAGCTGCTCGTCCCGGACTGCGGGAATATCGCCTTGGCGATCCGCGTCGCGGGGAGGATCGTCTGGGTGACGAGCGCCTCGGCGAGCTCCTTCGGTACGGACTCCCTCTCCTGGAGTCACGACGCCCAGGCGATCTTGACCCTCTTTGACCTCGGGATGAAGACCTGCGCGGGCTGCCATGCGCAGGTGCAGCGTATCGTCTCTGCGCAGAAGTAGACCTTGTAGCGGTGTACATCTTTTCCTGATTGCGTCGTCGGCGCCAAGTTGTAATCGCATTGACGCAGACGGTTCGCAAGTATGCGTAGTTCCGTACGGATACGTCCCTGTCCCATAGCTGGATGTTTCCAGCTCGAGACAGCGGAACTCACGCACCTGCTCGTAAAAGAGGGCGCAGAGAACAGGATCTTCGGGGCGATCGACTGAGATACCAGCGAGAACATGATCCCACCGATTGGAGAAGGCTTCCAGCCTTTCCTGCTCGGATCCATGAGTAAACCGATCAATTGTGGTCTTCATCAGGTCAACGAGCTTGAAAGTCGAATCGCCGGTGACATGTGGTCGAAGGAAATCATACAATAGCCACAAGATCTGCCTACTTCCGAGTCGCCGGTTTATCGTATGCATGCGCTCGGTCTCGGTCTGGATCTTATTCTTCAGTGCAATGGATCAGACGCACTCACGGAACGCAGAGTTGCATTCGTTTTCAAGCATTCCGTACTTGCACTCATCGAGGAGATCCTCATATCGTGTACCATCGGGAATCTCAACCCATGAGAGTGCGTATCCGGGATCGTAGGCGAATGCGTTCGCGACTCGCTCTTTCATATCGACGATCCAGCGTCGCAGCTGAGCAGGCTCCGGCTCGGGATCGAGACGAAAGGACTTGCACTTTGTCTTCTTGGCCTCGCTCAGCGATCCATCGCCCTTGGGTCCACCGAATCCCGGATCGTTGGGACCAGGTGGATTCCCAGTCTGTCTCTCAAGACACACGAGACAGATTCTCAAAGGATCTCGGCAACATCCGTTGCAGCACGAGAATCGGCAAGATATGCACGACCGTCGCACGGTGGTCGGGAAAGTTCCGGTGCAGCGCTCGCACTGGAACGTATCGTTCCCACTCGGCCGACCGGAGGGCCTGATGCTAGGCGGATCAAGGCCGCCATCGGGCGGACCACTCCCGTCAGGAGGGCCACCACCAACAGGCGGACCACCAGGTGGGCCGTCGGGTGGGCCACCACCGCCACCGGGGCCAAAACCGGACCCGTGGTGTCAATGTCCTCCGAAGCCACCGCCATATGCACCCCCGTTATCGTTGGGGCCATCACCACCGGAACAACCGCCGTCTCCGTTACGCGCGGGCGGCGGTCCGCCAAATCCGGATGGCGCGGCACTGGGTGCAGGAACGGACGTTCTGGCACTGAAGGTAGGCATCGGGGGCATGGCATCGTTGGCTGCAGCATGCTGAAGCGTCGCAGTAACGCTCGTGTTCGGCGCAAGGGTAAAAGTACCGGTCTCACTATGGAGAATTGGTGCGCCAGCACTGTTGCCAATGAGATTTGATCGGCCAAGCATCGCATCATACCATCGTGATGGTCCCTTCCCTGCCGGGACGGTTCGAGTATCATAGGAGATTTGGCATGGGAAGGTCGGGCTTGACCTGGGCTCAGGAGCGAAGCTTCGAGCTTCAGGGACATGTCGGATGTCAGCGCGAAGAGCATCATCGACTTGATATGGCCTGAGGCTCGGAGCCTGACCGGAAGTCGCTCCGGCGGCATTTGCGGAAGGAACGGCCTGATTCGGCGATCTTCCCGAAAAACACGCCGACGTTTGGCCAAAATTATGTCGGACGGGCTCAACAGGATTATTTTGCCCGCGACCTTCGGCAGGTTGTTCGTCAGCGACTCGTTGCTGCGCTCGCCTCAGAATTTCATCGAGATTGATTCCACTCGTCTGAGAGTGAACCGTTGAGGCCTTTTCAGCAGGCGCAGCGTTGCATCCCGGCGGAGAGCCGTGATCGATCGGACCCAACAGGGAAGACCTCGGAATGGCTGTAGTCGGTCCGCCAGGGAATAGAGCACCTGGAACTGGCGGCAGGTCCGCGGGGCGTGGAATATCCCCACCATGGTCACTGATATCGAAGAACTGCGTCCGTTCCGGACGCGAAGGCGTTGATCTATCAGAACCGCCTCTGCGGACATGAGCGTTTTCGAGGTGCTGGATCCGAGCAGTCAGCTGATCGATATGAGCTCGGTTACTTTCCTTATGATCGTAGAGAGCGCGACTCATCTCGGATCTGATGACTTCGATGCGGTGGGTAGCGTTCTGCTCCACCGCAGCAACGCGCGCTTCGGCATTAGAGATATTGATCTGAATCTGCCGCAGCGCGTCTGGGTACTGCTTGATGTGGCGGATCGTTTCGGCAAGCTGCATGGATAGCGACCCAGCACGCTTTTCGTTGAATTGATGGATCCGCTCATCGAACTCAATGAGTCGATCGTTGATCGTCGAAGTGAGCTTCGCAAAATGATCTTCAAGCGTTTCGTGATCAGAAATCCGCCTCTCGCGGAAAGAGTCCTGGAACTGCATGAACAGCTCACGCTCTTTCCTCAACTCGGCCTGAAGAAGCTCCCACATGTCTCGGATCTTGCTCTCGAGCGCTTCGGTGATGTCCGAGACGCCGTTCCTCAGTATATCGAGGTCGGCTTGGGTGTTGGTCACACCCTGCGCGATCGCCAGAATATCGGTGGCGATGCGCGCGGATGCTTCTGACCCAATGGCTTCATCGACCAGGGCCCTGACAGCACAGGGTCCGGTATGCCACCCGCCGTTATCGATGGCGGGGGCGGCACCACCATGACCCGCCGCGGTAATCGTTGCGACGGAATCATGGGGTGCACCCGGATGCTCGCTCATGGGCTCGTCGGGGAGCGAGGCTCCACCGCGGCCAGCCACCGGCCCGTAGGAATCGGGGCGCGGTGGGCGGAAGGACGCCGGGTCCGAAATCGGTGGACCACGGCCGTCCGGCCCGGACCCATAGAGGGCCCGAGCGCCCTCTGGATCCCCGCGAAGGGACAGAGGACAAGCTGAAAGATCGGTCGGAAGAAGGGTAGGTGCGGAAGCAGCAGGAGCAGCGGACGCAGAAAAGGCAGGCAACAAAGGCAAAGCACGAGCGGTGGCAGAAGCAGGCAGCATGCCGGCGGGCATCGTGCCAGGCGTTGCGAAAGCAGCAGCAGCAGAGCATGGCAAAGGCGGCGCATGGTGCTGAGCTCTCTGATCGTCCTCAGCAGGCGGCGAAGCAAGCAGCGAAGCAGAGCGAGCGAGCGAAGCGTGCGAGGCGGGCGCAGTGCAGCGAGATGCGTGGGCACTATCATCGGGCTCCACGACATCCCGAGCAACTGGCGTCACTAGTGAAGAACCGACAGTCGAGGGGACACGGGGAGAACCGAACGGAGTCGCCATTCTCTCGGTGGCGCGGCCAATCACAAGTTCCGAACTTGGTCTGAGCCAGGAAAACGGTAGTGATCGGACGCTGATTGGATCAGGCGGTCCGAGTGCCGAGCAGCAGCAGCGAAGCAGCAATCCACAATCGGATGCGGAGGCCTTACGGCTGATAACCTGTGAAAAGCGGAGGATTCCACTCAACTCTCGGTCACAAAGCCCAAGGCAGCCGATCGTAGATAAAAGCAATGCAGCAGGCAAAGCAAGGATGATCAGAGTTAAAACCGTAAGGTTGACGCTCAGGTAGAAGACAGGTCCTACAACCCCCAGGCTGTAAGCGGTCTTTTCCTGGGACTCGCTAGGCGGTCCTTGAGCAGTCAAGCTGCGTAGTGAGACAAAGTTGGTCTGATTCCTAACCAGAAGGCAGAAGCACGTGTACGCATGTCAGTGACAAATCACAGATGGTAAGGGAGCGGAGCTAGCAGAGTAAGAGCCCGTCTTGCACTCTAAATCCTAACTCTGCACCCAGACCCTAAACCGGAAATCAGCCCAGAACACGTTCCAACTCTGCGTCCTGCTGGCGACGCCAATACACCCTCACCTGTTGAATGGAAAGTTGGAAATCACATTATCTGCGTTCTTGTTAACGAACTGGTATTTCAGTTGCCACAGAAAGGAGATCATCTTACTCGCTGTTCATGCCTAGTATGATTGACCATAATAGTTTTTTGGGGGACTGTGCATCTGCTTTTGTCCGGTCGATCTGATCAGGGCTTCGCCAGAAGTTTAGGCCTCAAGCCTAGGAGCAAGCCCCAAAACCCTGTCTGGGAGTCTCCGAAACTAGGGACCCTCATATAGTACCCTACATAGTAGGATCCTTATAATAAGGACGCCAAAATAAGGTACCTCTAATTTTCGGAAACTCCCATATCACACTTCCATAAGCACTGATCCCCAAAGAGGAGGCAAGATTTGTTGATCAGCTGCAGAGGGTTTGTAAGGTCTGCATCGGGCTCGAATGAGTTTTTGACGGGTTGATCCCAAGAAACAGTCCAGACAATACCGCAGATCAAATTCCAACTTTCGAACGCTGCAAGCTCTAAGCGAAGCCCAACTTAGTACACATTAGCGGCCTTCCTACAACCCTAAAAGTTCCCACCTGAGACATGGCGGCGATGCAAGGAGCAGGCCACAAAAGGCACGACACGGAACAAGCTTCCTGAATCCGACGGGTCTACCAAATCAAGGCAAGTTGTGCACATCGGGCCTTGTCTCCCAGAGGACCATCCCCTACTGAACCCAAGAGTCCCTAACCCTAAAACCAAGAGTCCCTGAATCCTGAATCCTACACAACCCTGCAGGCACCATATCACAACGAGCTCAAGCTACACCGGGGCAACTGGAGCCAAAGTGGCCGCGGCGACCAGCACATGATACTCGCAGCATGCACAAAAATCCTAAACGCCTAAACCAACCCAGCTCTGAAGCCTAAACCGGGATCTCGTCTTCCCAGCAAGGATCTAGAAAGTAGATACCCTAGTTTGGGGCCCTATCTACTAAGGGTAGTTTATAGGAACCCTAAACCCT